ATCGAATCTATTGCAACCCTATGACCATGGGCTTATATTTTATTTTTTACCCTTCTTTTTGCCACTGTATACCTTATGACTATGAGCTTTTTTTTTTTAATAATATTGTAAATGTTGCTCAATATGAATACCTAGCATCAGTGATTAAAAAAACGCCGAGTCGCCCGGTTCGACTCGAGAATCGGCACTGGACGTGCCGAATCAGTCAAAAAACACAGAATCGCCTGGTTCTAGAGAGAATCGAGTGATTCTATACAGTGACTCGCCGATTCACTGTACGGAATCGACGAGTCCCGTGAAGAACACGGGCTGCACAGTGTTCTGCACGAAACCAGGTAAGAACTTTAAGTTTTTTTTTTTTCCGCCATATGATTAATTTCACTGCATATTTTGAAAATAATGAGTTACATTTGTAAGGTTTTTAATCGTTATTGTGTCTTTTATCATTTAACATATTCAATTTTGTTTAATTTGCTCAATTACAGCTTGTTTTTTTAGATGAACACACTGATGTCTGTGAAAAAAAATTTCTGCTGCTTTTTTTTTTTTTTTTCCTTTTTTCGATTTTTTGTTCATGATATATTACAATTAACGTGTTAGATTTCTAGGGTTTTTAATCGTTATAGTCTTGTGTATAATCAGATGTACTCAATTTGATGTGATTTATTCAATTTGAGCTTCATTTTTTAGATTCAATGACTGTTGTCTGTGAAGAACTGCGTTTTTTGTTTTTTTGCTCATTTTAATCGATTTGATTTGATTTATAGATGATAATGTGTTCAAAATTTAGGGTTTTGATTCCTTATATTGTTGTTTATCATAAAATATACTCAATTGGATGTAATTTATTCACTTGGGGTGAATTTTTTAGTTAAAATGGATGATGTAAGATGGCTTTATGAAGAACAAATATATTTTTTTTTTATTTTTTTTTTAGCCATTATCAAATTTTTCTTTTTTGTAATCCATGATCGAATTTTTTGTAATCCATGATCAAATTGTTTTTTTGGTTTTTTTGTAATCCATGATCTTAATTTTTTTTTTTTTTTTTTTGTAATCCATAATCGAATTTTTTGTAATCCATGATCGAAGTTTTTGTAATTCATCATCGAATTTTTTGTAATCCATGATCGAATATTTTATAATCCATCGAATTTTTTGTAATCCATGATCAATTTTTTGTAATCCATGATCGAATTTTTTGAAAATTTGTGATTTTTTTTTTAATCCATGATCAAATTTTTTTTGTAATTCATGATCGAATTTTATGAAAATTTGCTGTACTTTTCTTTTTTTTTATCCATGATCGAATTTTTTGAAAAATGATGATTTTCCGAAAAGATGTGAAAATCGTGACAAGGTTTAGATTTATCATGAGGTAACCATATTTTAAATTTTTATTGTTAAAGTTTTTGTTGAAAAAATTGTATGTTGATAGATTATTTATGCAAAAAAATGCATGTTATTATATTTTTAATGCAAAACTGTATTTTTTTAATCTGTTGTTAATGCATTTTTGAGTTGGAATAACTTACGTTAGATGGCTCTATGAAGAATTGTTTTTATTTGTTTTTTTTTTTTTGTACATGATGGATTTTATTTTAAAAATCATGATTTTCAGAAAAAATGTGAAAATAGTGACTAGGTTTTGATTATCATGAGGTATTAAACCATATTTTTAATTTTTATTGTTGAACTTTTTTGTTGAAAAAATTGCATGTTGATAGAATATTTATACAAAAAACATACATGTTATTATATTTCTAATGCAAAACTGTATTATATTTTTTATGTAGTTTTGCATTAAAAATGTATTTTCAATTTTTAAAATTTTGAACACAAAAAATACATGTTGTTAAATTGTATTATCGTGAGGAATTAAAGTGAATATCATTGTAAAAAAATCGTGGCATATATGACAATTATATTATCCTGCATTTTTCCAATTTTATTATTAATTTTTTAATGCAAAACATGTTTGTTCTTGATAATTGAGTTGTAGCCATGTTTGGAGCTTGCATTTTGTATTATATTATCCTGTATGTTTGTAATTGATATGTACGTAAATATTATTGTCAATAGAGGTATTTTGCAATAACAAATAACAACAAATATGACTATATGAACTACCCCAACATATTATCACTACACATGGTGATTATTTTTCTTGTTGAACTGTCAGGTTAATTTTTAACTTTTTACATATTAAAATAGTTGAATCATGTTAAGATCTGCAGAAGACTCTGCATGGCAACATGAGGTCAGACTTGATCCCAACAAAAAAGATAAAATTATTTGTAATTACTGCCAAAGAGTGAAAAGTAGTGGGGTATATAGGTTCAAGCAACACTTGGCAGGGGTTAAGGAAGATGTTTATGCATGCAGTAGTGTCCCTAGTAATGTAAAAAAACAGATGGCGGCTATTCTTAATGCTAACAAAGGTAAAAAAATTGTCAAACATAGGATGAATGAGGAGATAGCTAGTTTATATACGCCATCAAGCAAGAATGATACAGAAGAGCAATATAATAATGACCTAGAAGAGCAATATAATAATGACTTGGACATGGCCACAAGATTGAGTTTACATGAACAATATCAGAGGGAACGTGGGTTTAGAATGCTCGGTGGGTCTAGCTCTGACATGCATGGTGGGTATAGCTCAGACATGTATGACGGGCCTAGTATGTGTCAACAAGAATCAAACGTTGAAGAAATAGTTCCTAACTTATCTATGAGTGCCAGTATTGTAGGTCATGGTCGTATAGACCGTTTTCTCTCAAAGCCTAAGTCACAACAGATGACCCTAAAAGGCATGGTTAAAGGTACAAAAAACATGTTGAGGAGATATGTTGGTAAATGGTTCTACGATAAAAGGATTCCCTTTGATGCAGCCAATAGCCCATATTTTCCACCTATGGTCAGTGCAATCCAGAGAGCAGGGCCCGAGGTAAAACCCCCGATGGCATATGAGCTCAGTGGTTCAATATTAGATGAAGAGGTGGATGAAGTTACTAAGTGGATTGAAGAATATAAATAGAGTTGGCCAATGATATGCATTATTCTTATGAGTGATGATTGGTTGAATAAAGTTAGCAAAAAAGAGTTTTTAAACTTTTTGGCCTATTCCCCAAAAGGTACAGCTTTTTTGTCTAGCAAAAACATATCAGGAACGCAGAAGGATGCAAACTTCTACGTACGACTATATGATCAGATAGTGGAGGAGGTAGGAGATAAGCATGTAGTCCAGTTTATCGAACAATGCGCGTGCATGTGTTTCTGCGGGCAGCAAGTTAATGGATAAGAGGAAGCATATAGTATGGACGCCGTGTGATGCACACAACATCGATCTTATGTTAGAGGAGATCGGTGAGATCAAAATTGTGAAGGAGACTCTAGATGAAGCAAGGTTGGTGTCGAGATTTATATACAACCACTCTAAAATATTATTTTTGTTTAGAGAACACTCTAAGAAAAAAGAGATAATCAGGCCTGCCATAACCTGCTTTGCGATCGATTACTTAGCTGTGGACTCCATTCAGGAATCTGAAGGTGCATTAAAGAGATTGTTTACATGTGAAGAGGAGGAGCCAGTGTTGCATAAGAGAGCGTTCATTGAGGCTATCGGTGAGGAAGATCTTGCAGAAGGTGATCAGCAGCATAAAAGAGGAAGCAGTCAGCCAACATATCCACAATGCGTCGGAGATATCGGTGATATTGCACCTAATGAGTGAGAGTGGGAAGGGGGTCTAAGGGAAAATGAGAGAGATGATGATTCCGATGCCACTTTATCCCAGCCATATTATTCACATATCGAATCCCAACAGCAACAGGGTAGGGATGAGCACGACAGTGTAGGTAAGCATGAATGATGGACAAGCTTCGAGGATTTTGGATTGAGAATACAACAGAAC